GGATCAAATAACATTTTTAGGGGCCATGCTGTTGAGCAAGAGGTGAAAACTTGGGCTCATATAATCACTTCATAAACCTCTATAATTACATTTAATCATCATTATATTCAGGAGCTAAACCCAAAGCCACTAGGTTGGGCCCGACGCATTTCAGGTTTTCGCCAAACGTTTTTCGCGCCCTGCCATTGGCTCGCGTGTACCCCACCTCTGGCCCAAAGTCAGCAGGGAGCGGCTCTATAATTCGGACAAGCGCTCGACGGATGGATGTGGTCCAACGCATTAAGAAATGACATCGCATGCTCTTTGCCCGGCTTCGACATACTTCTCCTTAAGTCTCTGCACTTTCTCCTCTCTGGCCTGCGTCTTCATCTGCTGCACCTCGATGGAGTCCGGTTTGCGTCGGTTCATGTAGAGCTCGTGGTTGCCCATGCACAGCTGCAGGATGGACTTGTTGACGCGTAGCCTCGGGGAATAGAACACAAAGTCCTGAAGGAAAGAAGAGTCAAGAAAATAATAAATTGTAATTTTTTGGGGGTTTTTTTCAGCACAGCATGAACGGAACACCTGTGGAACGTGCAGCGACCCACAAAATTGCCGCGTAACAAACTCAACACGGGGATTCACTTTTCGTACCATTTTTAATATCAACACGTGTAAAAGTCGTCAGTGCGGCTCAAAGAGCAGAAGACTGACTCACCGGTGATCTTTTGTCGATGGGCTTGATGGTGAACTTTTTGTCATTGAAGGAAACATTTTTTATTTCGCTCCAGGGGAAGCCGATTTTTGGCGTCAGTCTGATGGAGCAAAACACATCAAAGTGTCACAGCGAGCAACAAATTTGACAACACGTCAATCGGTCCGCGACAGAAAATCCCCCCTCCTGCTGACTTCTCAATAAAAATAAAAAATAGAGAATCCACTGTCCCAGGTATGAGGGATTATTTCAAGGTGTGGCTCGCTAATGTTTCTCACTTGACAGGACACAGCAGGGCACAACAATCGCTGCGCTGTAATAAAGACCAACATGCACCTCGTGGCGAAACTCGCGCTTGAAAGTGCACCGCCTAAACTGGAATTTCACTTCATGACTCCCGCTGACACACGCTTGTGGAATTGAGGCAACAATGTGGATGTCGTTTCGGAGAGCCGTGACGAATCTTTGCGTCGAAAAAACTGCGGCTTAGGAACTCATCAATTTATCTCTTGAGCCAACTCAACTCAACTGTATTTATATAGAGAGCCAAGAGGTAAAAAAATCAAATCATAAACCATCAGGAGAAATTAGCTTACGTCAAGCTACAAGCTGTACTTGTAAAGCGTCCGGCGTTAAATGGAACGCGCGATTGAAGGAGAACACGTTGAATTCAGCACGCAAGGCGACACAATGCCTCAGCTCTGCTTTGCGGGCCAGCCGCCCTCATTGCAGAGCCGCTGGTGTAGGTTGGCCTCGCATTCTTAAGTGCCGCGCGGCTTGAAAAACCAGTTGGCGTCACCGTGGTGACGGCAGAGGTCACCGCAGAGGAGAGGCTTTGCTCTTGTCGATAGCAAGGTTGTTCGCAAAACAAGCTCCGTGGCCCATCACGGCTCGTTTGTTTAAATGTTGTCGCGTAGATTCGATGAAATTGCAGTCAAGGCAAGCGGGAGTGTCAGCAAAAAGTGTTTTTCAGTTTTACACATCGCTAATACCGCTCGGGATCTAATCTCCCGGGACAACGCTTTTTTTCATGTGCTTCCTGTGGTCCGTGTTTAGTACGTTACACACCAAAAAGCGCAGCGACCACTTGTCACTCTTTCAATAGGTGTTGCGATCGATTACAAGTTTGATGTGCGATGCTAATTGGCTGAGCATTTTTGCACAGTCTCTAAAAGATTTTTTTTTTAAAAAACACCAATGTTATGTCTGCTTTGGACATCAGAACAGATGACCAAGTGAGCTTACTTGTCATCCTTCTCATAAATGTTCAGTCCCAAAGCATCCACTCCGAGCCACAGCAGCGTTCCCTTCTTATTCTTGATGTCAAAGTAGTTGACGCCATACATCTCCAGGTCCTGCGCGATCTTCAGATACTCCAACATGGCGTCCTCCCTGGAAGCACCCCATCAAGTTGAGCGCGCGCGGTGGCATCGCGTACGACGGTTCGCACGTCGGCGACGCGCAGACTCACTTCAGCATCCCGCGGTGCTCCTCGTGCCACACCTGAATGCGCTCCTCCCACTGCTCTTGCGATAACTTGTGCTGATCCAAAACTCTGTCCAACAAGATGGCGTGGAAAGACATAAGAAATAGGTTGAGAATATCGCAGATTGATACTTTTGAGTAAACCCGCTTTGTTCAAATGGATCGCCGTAAAGCGTCGATGCAGAAGGAAGCGGTCAGCCGCAAAGGTACGTGTCTGCAGATTCGTTTCTGCTTATTAACCTGCCTAGTCAGCTCATAGTTTCATTTACCGCATTCGGTAATTGCTCTCAAACCTTGAAGAAATAGTTTGGGAGGATGATGTAACAGCTGCGTGAGTCCTTTACATCATCAATATCCCGACACGGCTTCTTCAACGGGATGTTTGAAGCTACTTTCCCTTCGGTGATGGTACCCACCGCCGCCCTCCGCTTATGACACCGGCCTCTTCACGATTCGACCTCAGCCCAGTTTCACGGGTGCTTACTCAGAAACTCGGAACCAGCACAGAAACCATGATTCATACGTGACCTTTCTCTTTTGTTACTCTGGTTGCCAGGGAGGACAGCATCGTTTCCTTCGGGGCAGGTTTAACCAGAAGAGTGACCTACTGGCTGTGTGTGCATTTTTTTTTTTTTTTCGGAGGACCGCGTATAAATAAATGTCATATCACCTGCAAACGGCTTCAGACTTTTCCCCGACCTCACCTGCGGGGCAGCAGCCGTTCGGAAAGGAGATATCCCGGCGGGTGCGAGTCCTTGTCGTAGTCGCCATACTTGGCTTGAACCGAGTAGGACGCCAGCAGCACGGCCGTTTCGGGCGGGCAGTACACCTGGTCGCTCAGGATGCTGTCTTTGACTTGCAGGAAGAAAAGCTTCTGCGTGATCTCCTGAATCAGCTCCTCGTTGACCTCCTCGGGAAAATACTTGGCCCGAAAATTAAAGTGCAGCGGGTTCTCCTTCCTCACATCCTGTTGTACCACCTGAAAAGGAGGAACACACAAAACAACATATTTCAATCATGAGATTCCTTCTACCTTGTCTTAAAAGTGCTGCAAACAAATCGACTCACGTTTGTCCATATGTGTTGTGACTAAAGATATTGCAAAAGGATACGGTTGGTTCAAAATAAAATCAAAGAAAAGAAACGCCCAAAAAAAATCTGTCGCGTTTGTTCCCATTACTTCCATCATGCGCCAGACTTCATTCATCTGATTTACAGATTAGACGGGATTACGAGCCACTCCGGGAATCTGGTGGCATGGAATTTAGCGGTGTTGACCATACAACAGAAAAGTAGCTCTGGTTCAAGCAGAGTTGAACACTCCAGCTGAACACACAATATACCCTTACGCAACAAGTATACACAGAAACCAAAAAGAGCCGTGACACACATCTCTATTTTCTCGGAGGAGGGGAGACGCTGACCACAAAAGAGAATATATATGGGCCGCACGTATTGTGTATTATGCTCCAGATTGACTAAGAAGAAAACATTGCCTCACCGAGCCAACTGTGCCCATGAGGGAATGCATTCTTCTATCGTGTGACTGTATTTTGATTTGGCGTGTTGCAAAATCCAGACCGTCTTGTGAGTGCGCTTCAAATCCCATCTCACCTTTTTTTCCATTTTGAGCCATGCTAAAAAGTCTTTTGCGTCGATATACTGGAGTCCAAAGTACCAGAGCTCGCGTAAGCCGACTGTTTTCACCACCTACGGATAAAAAGCACACAAGAAGAAAAAATTGGATTAACATTTTAAAAAGAACAATGGAGTAATATAATTAGTATTACAGAGGATTAAAAATAGCAGATAACTGAAGCTGATTAGAGCAAAGTTGATCTTTCAGAAGTGCGTATCAAACTGGTAACCCTCCGGCCGCCTCCCGATAAGATTCCTGCCGAAGGGGAATGCTCTCTGTCCAACATTTTATTGGCTATTTTCATCTTTGACTCTGAGGGCAACCATTCTTGAAAACAAAACACCATCCGGCCAGTATGACAAGACACAGATCAGATCAAGATTAGAAACTATGATGTGATTCTGTGTTCACTTCATTTTTTTTTTTTTTTTTTTGCAAAGCATCACAGCCATCTTCCCTGTGGCCTGGGTGAGGTGCGTATCGTCACAAAGACAGTCCAGCGCAACCTCCGGCCTAAAATGAGCCTCAAAGCGAGTTGTCCATTGAAACCAAACTCTTTGTGGCGCCGCAAAAGAAAATACTGAACACGCTGAAGGGGGCGGTTTGGAACGGTTTCGACTGAGGAAACGGTGCTTAAGGATGGTATTTAGTTCACCACCAAACACTGAAATGAAAGCTCTTCATTCCACCTGAAACATAACACAACAAGCCCTTTCACGGTCACAAACCACCACACGGAGCCCTAATAAAGCTCTCGAGAGGGAAAAAAAAAGTTTCATTGACTTAGAAGCTGCCATTAGGGACCTGCCAACAACATTAAGTCCACTTGCACAATTTAATGAGCGCCAATACGGCAGCTGTATAAAACAAGACCGTATTTCATTTTAGTGTCATAATTCTGGTTGTCGATTGCAGCGGTCAAGGCAGTGAAGTAAGGTCAGCGACGTCATTCGATTCATTAAGATTGAGGATTAACATTCTTAAAATTGCACCAGTTCTGGTTAAAAGATTAGCCCAACAATCCTGATGTAAATCCGGAGGCTAAAGTCTGGCAGAGTAACATTTCGCCGCACATGGATTTTGCCGCAACTTCACTGGATGCCGAACGCATCTTGGTTCTCGAGAAGGTTGCCGTAAACCCGAGTGGAGGACAGAGCTGAACGATTTCGGGGTCTTGGTCACGAAGGAGGGCGCGATGGAGCGGGAGGTGGACGGGACTTTGTATCGGTCTGTCGTGGTGAAGAAGTAGCTGAGCCAAAAGGCAAAGTCTATCCTCACCTTTGGTTGAAAGAACGAGATACAAGTGGCGGAAATGAGTTCAGACAGATAAGTGGCAGAAGCAAATCTTTTCTGTTGCATGTCTAAAAAAGCAAGTGGAACCCTTGCGGGTTGGGCGACACCCTTCGTCGGCGTGCAAAGCGAACGAACACCCGTCAGAAATTGCCAGTGGCACCTGTCAAATTCACGTCAAGATGCTCCTCAGCGCAAATCACCGCATCTCAAAATGCAAATGAGCTCGAGGAGGCACGTTGATGAGTTGGGACGAGCGACGAGCAAGCTCAAGACGAAATGAGATGAGCCGGAGGGCGTGTAGGGGAGCGGCAGGCGCTTATCTTTGCTATGACAGATGCTATTTTCTAAGTCGCTGATCCGCGCTGACAGCAAAGGCCCGCCACTCTCTCTGGGAAAACAAAAAAGCTTACGGGTGGTGCTCAGCAGACTGTTTGCTGTTGAGACCGCATCGGGCTGCTTATCCGTGTCGAGGGGCACCTACGCCGCATATCAGATGCACTAATCTGCCATCGTTGCTCAAAGCTCAACCAAGCATTTAGTGTAAATCATTGATATGAGAGTAAGAAGGGCAGAGGGCCGCCACGCTGTTTAAAAAAAAATAAAATAAATGAAAAAAAACATTTTAAATGGCTGTGACATGGCAGAAAAAAACTAAACAGACCTCCATTGAATTTACAGGAATATTTTTTTGAATGACTTTTCGCCAATGTAAACTTGAAATGTTCAACAATCATATTTCTCTGTAGAATCCAGAGATAACTCCAAATGGCAGTTTTTAAATCATTGTTTATCATACCGCCGTTCGTTTTAATCTTTGCGGTTCTGTCACTGTGCTTCGTGGATATGACGAAAGGATTGAGCCGTCGATAGCGTCGGCCATTTTACACGTTGGCTGTCAGCTAGCCGGTGAACGGTGCCGTTTGGTCAGCTTGATGTTCATGCTAACTCGGCAAAAAAGGTGTTGTTGGAAAAACAAAATCCAAGTCCCGAGAAACCCCAAGAAACCAGAATAACAAACAACCAAAAACCCTGTTCCTCCATTATAACTGATGCAAAAAAAAAAAAAAAAATTTAAAAATCTCTGCAGACTAACCAAACAGCTGCCTCAAATTGTCGCAAAAATGTGGAGAATGGCTGTCGCTCGGTTTGGTCCCATTATGCTTGGATGGGATTGGATTTAATGAACACAAAGATGAGATGTAGGCTTGGTCCGCTGACATGCAACCACAACATATATAGCATTTGGCTACGCAAGCTATTGAAAAACGAGTTTGACAGGAAGCGCCTAAAACAATGCCTTTCTTCCCCCGGTGCTGTCACACGGCACCAAACGAGTTCGACCTTCATAACAAATCTCAGCTGGAGCCTGCGGGATCTCAACCTAAAAAGTTCAACCCTTTGCGGACCATCGGTGACATAAAATATGTTTTGACACCAAATAAAAGCCGCATTGGAGCGCAGTCGTTCGCTTGACGCCAAAGGCTCGTACGCCAGCATTCAATCCCGCTTGTCCAGCGCGCAAATGAAAATCTTTTTCATTCTTGCTTCGAATTCGGCATTCTCGATGACGACATGGTGAGCCACACGTAAGATGATGAATTCGATTCAGAGGTACGGCGCCACACAACACGAGATCACCGCGACGATAACGGCATCAGCGGCCGATAAACATCTGATCAACGAGTCCCTGGTCAAAAACGATACTGTTCACATTTTAATTTCCAAAACAGGGAGTGGGTGGAGTTTCCTGACAGGAATTTCGGTGGATTTCCAAGAATGAGTCATGCATTCGATACTTAAAGCGGAGATGGTGTGTGGCATACCTGATCAAACACAACCTTGCCGTAAGCGCTTGACAAAACTGCAAACTCCAGCTCCGAGTCCAAGGCGTTGACGTTAATATTGACCTGTGGGAGGCACACACACACACACAAACGTCATCAAATCCCCATCCAGAGCATTTAATAATGCAGTACATGAAAACGAGGATGAAAACATTGTTGACCGTGCTTATTACCACTCAATGAAACGGATACAAAAGATGCGACGTGACCTGCGAAGGCCGTAACGAAGCCGAGAACAGAACGCTTTGGCATCTTTCATCGCCAGTCCATCGGAAGCGGCGGAATGGACACGCGTAGGCCGAAGCGGTGACCCGCCTGCTTCCAATCCACTTATTAACTGGCTTTGATTTTTGCCGGGAGGCCAAATCCAATCGCAGCGTCTCATCATCATGTTACCTGGGAGACTGCGGGGGAGTGGCGGTCCAAACGGTGCGCGGTTTTAGCGCATAATGCCGCCAGGGATGATTCGAGAGAAGTTTGCATGGGAAACTTTTGCCTAATGTGATGGAGCTCTTCAAGCGCGCACACACACGACTTGGAACGCTCTCATTCAGGCAGAACTTTATCTCCCGATTTTGAGTCACGGCGAGGAGGCAAAACGGCGGTGAAACACAGCTTTGACTCCACGGCCTGACAAAGAACCCTTTGAGCTTGAGTCTGTTGCTGCGGTCTTGAGGGAGCAAAAACTTGCCCCCCCCACCCCCAACACCCGACTCAAGCAAGACGCACGCTGTAATGAAGGGGAGAACGGCTCATACATAGAAAGCGAGCTGCTGTATTTGCATTTACAGCATTTACTGGCGGGAGAAGTTAGAAAAACATACACACACACGCACACACACATCGGCCAATGGAAAATGTGAATGCCGGCCAAGACGGTGAAAAACGACAGTGAGTGATATGTGATCTCGGAGCAGGTCGCCCAACGGGAAGTCATGATTAACCGAGGCCATTCGGAAACGGTAAAGAAAATAGAAGTGGGCGTAGGTCTTCAAATCTCTGACCCGATATTCAGGTGAAAGGTCAGATTTGTCCTAACCCCAAAAAATGCTCAGTTGCAAGGGTCAGCGCGTGGCTTGACGTTCTTCACCCGACATCATTTTCAGAGCTGCGCTTGGGTGGAACGTGACTAACAATCAGCTCGTTCAAATGTCAATAAGTTACAATGCATTCATCAGGGCGTGCGCTTCAACATTTAAAGAAGTATTTTGCGATGGGGAGTCACATGCGTGGCAAACGTCCTCAAAAGTTTTTTGGTGTGTGTTATAGGTTGACTTATTATCATGCAATACAATGGCAAACTTCGATAAATACACTTCTCGGTGAACCGAAGGATTGTTTATTTTTTGGGGGGGGGGTTGTTTTATTTGGGACAAAATAAATAAAGAAATACTGAAGTGTGGCATTTTGATTTTAACCGAGAAGGAAAAAACGGTTACTCCAAACTTCATTTCAACGAGCATAAAAGGATTCATTCTGCACTGCTGTGCTTTTTCTTTGGCTTTTGTAACAACACTAATTCCAAAGGAGAACCAGTGGAAGGCATGCCATTCAAATTCCAACCATTAAAATTACAGTGTCACTATGTGCATCATCAAAGTTGTAAAACCGTGACATGATTTATATTTCCAGTGGTGTGTCGCAATCAGACGCCTTCATCATGAGGCTCCATTTTGACCATAAAGCATTCCAAAATCCGCATAGGTATCATGACGCCTTCCAAAGTTAACGATACAGTATCATGGAAGACAAACTGACTTGTTTCTGTTCTCACTTCCATAGCAACGCGCACAAAAAAAAAAAAAAAAAAAAACGAAGGCCATTCTAAACAAAGCAACAAGACGCATTATAGCCAGGACCACAACCTGTTGACACGTAAAAACACTCGGCCACTTCTTAACATTTTGAATGGGAATAATGAAGCGCACTTTGGGCAAAATATAACATTTTCACTTAGTGTTTGCACGTTCCTATGTATGGAATTTACCTCATAGAAATACTATGTATATAGCCCAGTTTCCATGTAGTAAAATAAACAAGACGCTCGAAATGCCAGCAAGGAGTTTCCAAAGTGATGTTTGACTGTGCCGAGTGTAATAGCAGGCCGGGGTGGGGCAAGCTAGTTCAGAGCAAAACCTGATCTGTTAGAAAACACGGGAGAACATCGTTAGCTTGCTTTTTTACCTCCAGTGAGAGTTTGGCAGGGAATTGTACATTTGAAATAATGCACCACACAACAATATGAACTTTTAAGCAAGCAAAGAATTTGTTTTCGACCAATCCTATTAAATTCGCATGAGATCAGACTTCACTGTGTGTGCTTGAATTCTATTTAAGATTTGCAAAGACTATTGGGACACTCCCATCCATGGCAATGAAAACAAGTGACTGTGTGGCTGGCCTTCAAATGGAAACTTGTTAGTTACTCCGCCTTAATGTTTCAATCGTTAAAAAAAAAAAATCTGGTTAAGAATGGAAGTAACGAGACAGAAATGTATTGAAATCCCTGAAACACAGGCTGAGCATATGATTAAATATTATGAAGATAATTTTTAACCATTGTCAGTATAATCATAATCAATAAAATCTTGGGTTTTAATTGTGGTTCAATGTTATGTTTAATAGTTTTAATTTTAGTGTAACATCCACATTAAATGTTTGGGAATTAGTAAATAAACCTTCTCAAAATACAGAAAATGGGTGGGTTTTTTTACGCTCAGGTGAACTCAATGCAAAAATAAATAGGTAAATTAAAAACACTGTAGTTACTCACCGCTTTCGGCATTTTGTGTCCTTTTGCCGCCTTTCGCCCGAGAAGATGATATTAATCGGACCCCGTGTAGTCACGGTACCTTCGTGGAGAACGAACAAGAGGAGAAACTAGTTTGAGCGGCACTTGGGTGTTAATGCAAGACGTCGGAAGGGAGCCTCTTGGCGATCCTGCAGGTGACAGTCATCGTCAACATTAAACGAATCCCACGACTGACAAGTTAGTAGTAGCCACGCAAAAGAAGCGCAGGAAATGCTAAAGATTGAATTTCAAAATAAGTGTAATGACTTCATCGGATATATTTTTTTCAACCATTATTGAATATGTGAGTATTCAATAAGTATATTTATGTACAAATTGAATCTTTGTCAGCTAACCAGATGGAGAACTTTTCACGATCCGCATTCTTACTCCGCCTATACTACTTTTATTGTGGAACTTAACCCCAAACATATAGGAAGATGTGTAGTTTATAGTTGAAGAATTTTAAATCTTCGTCAATGTGGCTGCCTCACCCAATGGGCATGGTCAAGACATCCATGCCTATCTTTGTCTCATTTCTTTACCTTTTCTTCTTCTTTATTACGAACGATACTCGGGAAAAAAAGGAACAAGTTACCTTGCGTCATTCAAACGTCATTATATCTGTATGATGTCACTGGACAGCGATTTGTTGGGTTTATAGCACGGAGCAAGACACAGTCATTCTTTTCACTTTTATTGATTCACGATAGACATTTATACATCCAATCTTGTATTTTTATGATTCAAGTGCCTGCTTCGTGTATTGATTCACAACATAGGTAGGTAGCGCGACCTGGATGTGTCCTTATGAAGGTATTTCTTGAGCGCGTACGATTGTGCAATTTTAGCAGGGAGCATAATGAAAATGTACGCTGAACAATGAATCGTACATTTATTAGTAATGTCTATGAGGACAAGACGGATCTGCAATTTTTACTTATGAGTGTCTCAGCTGGGCAGGTGCACGTTGTCCGCCCACACGCGTGCGACAAATGTGCGTCGGTGGCATTGAGGTGTGCTGACCAATCGGCCGACGGTATTAGTGGGCGGACAACGCATTGAGGTGTGCTGACCAATCGGCCGACGGTATTAAAATAGACGCCTATAACAACCGTGCTCGGTCCTGTGTTTTGGCAGAAAGTAAAATCGTAGTTGAATCATGAGAATATGTACCCTTAGCCTGAACTTGAATGCATTGCCCGTGACTAATCTCTCTGAAACCTTGAATGAAAGCACAAGTAATTGATTTTTCCCTTCCCAACTTGCTAAAAAAAACACTCAGAGCCAAGAATTGAAAATGTTAAACCCTTTCGACATTCACGATCCTGAGTCGTCAACATCGAGTTGGGCTGAGCTAGATGAACAAACACGGCATGCCTGAGACAAATTGTCTGTTTACTATTAGTAATTACAAACAAAATCAAAGTGCACTTTGAACAAAACACAAAGAAATGTGTGAGAATAGTTCAGTCCGTTTTTAAAATATAAGCCTCTACTTCTCTGGCCGCGTTTCCAAGTTTGTATAGAGTGGCAGTTTTTTCTGGGCCACATCATGAATGAGTGCTGAAATAGACAAGAAAGGTAAAATTATTCAAAAAGTTTTCCCACAACTCATCCATGACATTAGAAAACATCCGCTAGGTGGCAGTGTAAGCGCTACAAAGTTGCAAAGGACCGGAAGCTGTGACACACGCTGTTCACGCCTTACCTTTACTCTCATACAGTTATAATTGACATAAACAACCAACAGCAGTAAATCACGTACACAAAGAAGGCATTATGTATGTGTATTATTTTAAGGGTTGCTAGGTAATTAGTTAAAAAAAACAAACATCTGATGACGCTTTCAAACTTACTGTCCAAGAGCTGCCTTGCAGCATTTCTCTTTTCTAATTTGCTGTTCACCTCAGCCATCAGCCAAGGAAAGAAGTTTGTCTCGATATCTGAAAATCAGAAGCACATCGAACCCACGCCTTAAGAAGCAAACACAAAGTATGACTTCATGACTGCTTTGGCACCCAACCTTTCTCCACGGGGTCATAAAAGAAGCCGTGGATCCTGAGGGACTGAAAAACGGTTGGGACAAGGTCAGCCAAGTACTGCTGGGTGTAGGCCCGCGCTGCGATCTTCTCCACAGTCTCTTTTTCCATCCTCAGTGCTTCCCTCTGTTGCGCAATACGGCGCTCCTGGAGAAAGAGAAAAATTCTCTTGTAGCAGCCAGCCATTTTTTTTACAGCGTTTGTCCTCATTAGGGATTAGATGGAGCCTGTCCCATGTGATCATTGATGGTGAACGTTTCAGGCTTCTGCAGAGCTTGCTGATGAGCTGATTGTTTGAATCAGGTGTGTTGGTGTAGGGAGGGATCTAAAAGAGGCAGGATAGGGCTTCAGATTGTCTGGTTGAAAGCCATTCTTGAATGCCGCCACAGACCTTGACAGTGAAGTCTTTCTTCCTATACTGTATACAGTGAATCAAAAATGGCATATCGCTACCCTCTGCTGGCAGTTTTGCCTACCTTTTCCTCCCTGTGGCGTCTCTCCTGCTCCTGCAGCCGCTGCACTTCAGCCAACTCGGCGTTGCGGAGCTCCTGGAAGGCCCTCTGCTGTGCCCTTAGACAGGCCAGCTCCTCCTCCTCCATCACCTCCAGCAGAGACTGCTCAATGGTCTTGCCTATCAGGACCTCCAGCAAGGGCTGCACCTCTCTGTCAAAGTCGAACAACTGCGGAAGACAATCACTGAAAACTGTTTTTAAGTATGCATTGGAACCAATTATTAGTATTTTCCTTATATCATACAAGGGGATAAAAAAAAAAAAATCAAAGACATTTTTAATTCCAGGGCGCCCACCTCCCCGTCCTCTATTTGTGTTGCAACATCTTTGCCAGATTTGGCGGGTATAAAAAGCGGTGTTGCAGGTCTGTCCAGGAGTGGATCAGTCTGGCATTCGATATGTGAAAGCTCAATGTTGTAGCTCAACTCTTCCAGATAAAGCTCTGAAAGAGAGACTGCTCAATGGTCTTGCCTATCAGGACCTCCAGCAAGGGCTGCACCTCTCTGTCAAAGTCGAACAACTGCGGAAGACAATCACTGAAAACTGTTTTTAAGTATGCATTGGAACCAATTATTAGTATTTTCCTTATATCATACAAGGGGATAAAAAAAAAAATCAAAGACATTTTTAATTCCAGGGCGCCCACCTCCCCGTCCTCTATTTGTGTTGCAACATCTTTGCCAGATTTGGCGGGTATAAAAAGCGGTGTTGCAGGTCTGTCCAGGAGTGGATCAGTCTGGCATTCGATATGTGAAAGCTCAATGTTGTAGCTCAACTCTTCCAGATAAAGCTCTGAAAGAAAACAGAAACATTGACTCATAATGGACTGAGCAATCACAGACAAACGTGCCCCGAAAGTCGAGAGGAAAACAATAAACCTGTTTGGACAACATTGTGTTTTCTGCCTTGGACGGCCTCCGGGGTGGACGATCGTAGTTGCTCCTTAGTCTTGTTTTTCTGAGCTATGGCTCTCCTCCTCAACTCTTGCTGTCTTTGCATTTCAGCGAGGTCTTCCTGCACCATCTGTTCTTGTGCACAGGACAATAAGAATGTTGCAAAATCATTGCTAGGGCAAATTTCTCTCTTCCCTCCAGTGCTCAGGAAATAAGAATGCTGCTAACATGAAGACATCAGTTAGATTTGTTCTATTTTATGGTTGTTGTTGTTTTTTTAATGCTACAGTGGTCAGTCATTGGTCTTGTTCATTTGTACTGCAGACACACACACACAGTTTATTTTGTTTTCATAAAGGCTGCAAGGGCTATTCAGAGACTGTGGAGGGGCCGGGCGGAGCCCGTGGGCTGTTCTTTTCCATAATTGTGCTGTAATTCTTTTTTTCATCCACGTGGCTGGAGGGTTGGAAAAAATGAGCACCAAACAAGCTCTGGTGATCATTTGAGAACCACATCAAAATTGTTATCTGCAACTTTGCTTCATAATTAAGTCCAAAAATAATTTCTGTACCTACAGTTGATAGAAAGCGTTGGGCGTAAGTGTTTCCCCTAATGACACGACGATCATACATGATGTTTCCATAAGTGCTGTGCGCCCTGTTGACAAGAGAGACGCTGTGTAAATGAACAGCTTGACACGCGATTGTCTAACCCATGGTGCTGTTTCATATGGTAAAAAGAGAGCATTTAAAGGTATTTAGAGACATTTCAATTGATTAAACCAGTTATGTAATACAGACACAACAGTGGAGACAGAATTAGAACTGCAACCTGTAAAACTAATAGTATTAGTAGCAGTATTCGTATGACAATAGACATGAACCGATAAGAGACTGAAAAGTCACAACCCAGACTAATAGCACAAAATTGACAAATTGAGTATAGCATTTCATATGAACTGCAATATTATTATTATTACATTTACCTTGTTTTATAGTCTAGTGCAATACCAAAAGCAAAAGTGAGCGTAAAAGTTTGCATTTTTGGAAGCGAACATACTTTTCTGCCTTTTCGGTCTGCTTTTCTCTGTATTTGGAGCGGTTTTCAACAGGCCTGGGGCGACTGGAGAACGTGTACGTTCCGTTTGTGCCTTTCTGGTTGCGCGAAACAAAAGACATTGTTTCAACACCCCACAAAAAAAAATTAATACGATGATGTTTTCTGCTATTAGCTTGCTCGTGTGGGGTCGCGAGGAGCGCAGAAGCAACAAGCTACCTTAGCAACCGTGACCAGGAAGTGAAACATAGCAACCGTGGCCAGAAAGCAAAGCGAGTGTCGTAATGTACAGTTTGGAAACGGGACGTGTTGTTTCAGATGAAGCAGGAAACAAAATTATATTTTAGGGTCCTCTATTTCCATTTAATGGTATTGAGAATTCATACAGCCACTAGCAATTTTATACTCCAACAGAGGACTGTGGTTGATTACGCTACATTCTCAGTGAAGAAGCACAAAATGAGATCCTGTGTACCATTTATGGCAACTCAAATTACAAAGATTAAACCTGCATACAAGTATATTTCGATTGAATGATAGCTTTTGCAAACTGTTAGCTCACATTTTGTCATGCAATATTTAAATTGGACTATTGCATAACACATTCATTTCAATTTCCTTTAGTAATCACATAGCCGAAATAGTATCCAGTATCAATTGTATTATTAATTTGCGAATGTCTGCACCCACTTACTCATCTCCGTGTCGTTACATAACCAGCCTTTCCAATAATCACAGTTATGTAATGTTTCCAGCAAAGCTAGTACTTTGTTGACACTGTTTACAACGGAACACAAATAGCCAAACAAAGCAGGCCATCACCTTGTTCGGGCCCGTGTCATGTGTTTTCATCATTGAAAGAAATCCTAAATTTGCGCTCAGATGAGTGCATTCACTTCTGTCACAGTGTTAACGCTTGAACATTTACTTATTGTGAAGTGGCATTGAAGGCTAAATAGTAGCTGGCCTACTTTGGCCTCGTCTCATTAGTCCATGATTGAGATTATGTAATCGACAGGGCATGAGTCCACCCATCATTTTTTCCCTACTCACAGCATCATCTTTGTTTCGCACTCCAGGCATCCCTTTCACAAGAGCAATTGGTACAATCGGGGTCGTTTATTTTAAAGCAGTAAAAAAATAAATGTTCATGCATTCAATACGCTACAAAATGTATTGAAAGGGGACGTGTTACGTTTGCTTGGAAACTAGTAGTACTGCCCTATTGAGCTCCATGATTTCTTTACTACTTTTGATAAGCTTAATTAAATATGAAATGCCCAATTTTAGATGTCAGAGCTCATCGGTTCATCCAAAATGGATCAATATCATCATTTTGTTGAGCATTACAGCAACTTGCTGTTATCAAACACGGAAGGAAGCACATCGAAGGTCACAGAGAGGAACAACAATTCAGAGAAAAACCAAATCCGTCCATGTGACTGTGTCTGATTTCCTTCTTTACGCGTCAGAACACAGCGTTGTCTCAATGACTCTTCTCACTCTGTTGCATAACTGACATAGCAAAGGGAAGTTGATTGTGACAGTAGTTTTTCAAACGCAAAAATGCCAAAAAAGTTCCACTCAGACCGTTCTTTTTCATTTTACAAATCAAGGACTCTCATCGTCCACAGTGTGATTTAATGTCGTGGAATAAGAAGCCCATTACAACAAAGCAAAAAAACATACTTGCTGCAACTCACTTCTGTATTTATATACAGTGCAGTGCAAAATTCTGAGGCCATTAACATCGTGTTGTTTAGCAGTGCAAAAATGACTAGACATGATCATCTGTCTCTCGACAAGCAGAAAAAAAGATTAAATTGGGACGTATTTAGTGTCACCTTCCTTTGCAGTGCACTTTTATTTCTCACACGATTACTTGTGTAGAGCGAGCAAGAAGATGGACTATACATGAGAATGTGAACACACACCTTGTGGTGGCCAAAGACTTTGGCACAGCACTGCATTCAATATTACATTCAAAACAGACAGACTTGTCATAGCTTCATTTTTTTTTTTGATAGACTAAATATCTACCAATACATTTGTACTCTGTAATAGTACGACTCAAGAATGGCATGTACAGTATTCATACATATATACATATGTGATATTCACATAATTGTATCTGGAATTCAGAGAATAAACAACTTGCATTGTACATACATTCCTCCATCTGAGTTCAACCGGAGGCAGAATGACAGTAGCCTAGAAACACAGCCCCTTTTGTCATGACGCTGTCAAGAGTTATGTCATAGTACAAAATGATTGAACCGTGAGGGGAGCAATTGGGCGCACATTGTTCTGCTGAGGCACAATTATGGGAAGGGAATGAAATTCCGGCCAAAAGTAGAACGCGCAAAGTGGCTTTGAAGCTACGTGTTTCGAGCCTTGAAGAGATGGGGTGAGTAGAAGTCATTTATGCGCAGCCGTTTGATGGCCGCTCAAACGTAGGACTCTTTAGCATATGGAAATTCCTCAAACACCGGCTGGCTGCATCGTCGTGACGCGGCCTCCCGTTGACCCGCTGCGGACACCGACTCGGACATGGCCCTCTGGCGGAAGACCAGCCTGTGCTCTAGACTCTCTTGTGTCTCTTGCGTGCAACTGTCGGTGCGACGGTTTTGGAAGTAGCTCGACGAGGAGGAATAATTCCCAGAAGACGGTCGGGATCCTCTCTCTAGAGCTATGGCGTCGTGTACTGTCATGGAACCGTACTGCGGAGCAAGAAGCGCGCTGTGCAACGCCTGCTCGTATGAAGGCGGGCTGCAGGCCAGCCGACTGTCTATCTGTCTGAACACCTCGATGGCTGACAGGGGGCGGCGCCTGGGCTCGGCCGGCGAGACCGCTTCGCTTTGCGAGTCCTCCCGGAGAGTTTCGCAAGGGAAGGGCTTTTCGTTCTGGCGCTCCTTCTTCAGACTGTTTCTGCCGAAGCCTCCTAAACTCCTGGTGCGCATCAGAACCTTACAGGCGGCCCTCAATGAGTGTGAACGCTTCATCTCATCTGAATTCAACCAGGTTGAGTCCTGCTGAGGCCCCGCAGGGGCCGCGATGCTCTGGCTCGTTCTCCTGGAGCACGGCGGCGAGCCGGCCGGGGAGCTGGTGAACACGGAGCCCTCGGATTGGTTGGATGCGGCGCTCTCGAGGGAAGAGCTGGAGCAGCCCATCATTTGATTCCCGGTGTCGCTAAATCGGCCGATGCTGCTCAGTTTTGAAAAACACAAACCGGGCCGCTGCCAGGAGCCCTCAGAGACTCGCTTTTTCAAAGGCTGCTCCGTAAAGTTCTCAACAGAGCAGTCGTCATGGCTCCGGGAATGGGCGCAGAGGTTCACCACGTCCACCGGGGGCAGGATGATGGGCTCGGAGCAGCGACGGTTGAAGGCGGGCTTGGAATCGAAAATCGCGTCGGATGAGCATGTGGAAATGGTGACGCTGAGGCTGAGTGAGGGCGACGAACCGCTTCCGCCGGCCTCCCCGTCCCCATCTGGATCGGTGCTGTCATACGCTGAGTCGTGATGCTGCGAGGACACGGAATCTGCAAAACAGATGCTCTGTTAATGAGCGTGCAGATGTGTTTACCGGTAAGTACTTTGCTTAAGGACTTAAGTGCAATGATGGCATTTTACTTTTGTTCCTGACATTTGAAAAGTTTTCGAGCTCACGTTCTACTTCTTTATCAACCCCCTCTTAAGCACCTCAAGCATTTTATTTGATATTCCAAAATGTATTTGTAAATTATTTTCTCACTTCTCCAATGACAAAATCCCTGGATGTTGGGGAATTATAAGGCAAAATATGAACCAGAGAACATGTTCTCCTCCTGGTCTTATTTAGAATAATACTTTGATGTCATCTCTTGATTGTATTAAAAAAGTAACCATCTAACCAGAAAAAAAAAAAAAAAACATACGGCTAAGTTTTTTGGCCTGTTAGCTAATTTTACTTTTTTGGTTGTCACTTGGCAACATTAGCAAAGCTATGGGAAGATGTTTTGATGGCATCAAAGCCAAAGCCAATGCTAGCTAGATTTTGTTTCTTTCTTGGTATCTGGCTAGCAGTTTGAAGACTCTTCAATATTCTTTATTTTGCTTGCGCACCTTCATCAGTATCCAGGAGGTGTGGGATATTCTCTCCAAGGATCTCACAGTGTTCAATCAGGAACTGAGTGAGCGCTGTGACCTGCAGCATAAAAAAAAATAAAATAAATATCAAACCATGCCAAGGTTTCTTGCACCACGCCAATCAAGAACTACCTTTTTCATCATTTCTTTCTGGTCATCAAGCGGTGTGACCTCCATCTGCAGCAAGGTCGGGGCAATGCAAACCGCGAGGTTATAGGCGTCCATCTTGTTGTCGTCAGCATTGTCGAGGATGTGATAGAGGACGCAGGCCAGGTGCTGTAGGAGGACCTTGTTGGGCCTGGGTAGCTTGTCGACCACACTGATGAAGAGGAACGAGGTTGGAAAAACAAAAACAGGCAAGAAAGCCAACAAATTGGATGTTAGTTACGAATACAAATCAAATTTCTGAAAACGCGCCATTAATCCCAGGACTGATGTCATGATGCCAGTGAGACTCATGAGCCCACCTTCTGAGTGCTCGCTCTCTCTGCTGGCTCTCTTCCCTCTGCAGAGCCGCCATCCACTCTTTGTAAAGGTCACACACCAGCAGGCTCCCAGGGAGTTCTTTTAGAAAACTCTAAAAGCAACAACGACAGGCAGTATTTAGACCAGAGTGGTGCACATCATGCATGCGGAAATCGACATTTTTATGGGAAATTAAAGCAGTTATGCAAAAGGAGAAGTACATTGTAAAGTCGCTCGGAAAGTACAACGTTTTTTTTTCCTTGTACAGTTTATGCATAGAGGCTCTCGCGTTCATTTGACCTGAAATATCACCCCGCATGGTAAGGCGAGGTAACAAAACAAAATAAAGTGACACCGCTTAAGATAATGAAACGTGAAGTCAGAAAAGGCACATACTTTGAGCAACCCGACCAGCAAAGCGACAGGCTGCGACTTCATGTCCACTTCCAGGCCGTTGTTGAGCCTGTCCCGGACGTCCCTCATGTTCTTGTTGTTGCACGGCTTCCGAAACACCCCCTCTGTGGACGGCCCCCTTTTCCTCAGCAACACAAGCATCTCCTGGCCAAAGGAATTGAAATGAGATTAACCGTGTCAACATTGTCGTGTAGTTGGGAATGGCATTTCAAGACAAAGCATCCAATTACATGTGCCTGGGTGATTTCTTGTGCTAATTACGCAACCTGGACAACAGATTAATTAACTGAATTTAAAAAAAAAAGGTTAGAAAATTTCTCCCCTGTTCAAAAATGGATAAATTTTGTCATTGGATAAAAATAACATGAAAAAAAATCCCTGTTTGTAGAATTCAATCGCAAGGAATTGAAAAATATATTTAGATGCATTTCCAGTGGCCACGATGCACCCTGACAGGTACAATCGAATGTAAACAGTATTTTGCTTTTACAGCAGCGGAAATTGGAACTTTAAAAATCTGATAAAAATAATACTTGGAAAGTTTCATTACATTTGCATTAAAACAGACATTTTTTTTTCTTCTTCCATCAAAGTGGACACAAATGGCCAGCACTGAGCCCAAAGACTTTCGAGTCAAACAAATGACTTACTGTGATGGGTTTAGGGAGCGAGTTGTCATCTGGGCACACTTTGCAGAGGGGCCGTCCAAAAAGCTGAGTTTTGGCGTCTGATTGAGCCGCTTTGCTGATGAAACTCGAGCCCTTCGTCAGCTTTCTCACCAAGTTCCATTTCGTTTCTGCCGGGATCAATAATGTGCCATCCATCAGCTTGACCGACGTCCGCACTTCGGTGACACTCAACTCATTCTAAGTGCGCCGTGCGTGAGGCGTGCCATTGTGACCGAGAGCCTTTTTTTTTTTTTTTTTGCACTTGTCTATTTCCTCCCTCTGTGCAAATGTGGTTTTCAACTTTGCTTTCGTGCCACCGCACATATGGCACTCTTTGCGGGGCCCCTCCCTTGTTGCGCACTTGCCATTGAGGGAAGACTTGCAAAAAAAGGGGAAGTTGCTCTCAACTCACCCAGCGTCTGCATCAGCTTGTCCTCTTGGTTATTCAACAACTGGGACACTGCCGAAGTATTTACATCTCCCTGACAACAAAATAAAACGGTTATTGAGTATAAAAGAGGAACTTCAGAATGCACATGGGGGGGTGGGGTTATTTCTTTCCAGCCAAAAACCTCAGTCGTAGTACCTACCGCAGTGGCAATGAATAATCGTCACTGACTCAAACTAAGAACCAATTTAAAGTTTTGGACATTATAGTTTGAAAGAAAAGACTTGTTCGAGGTCTGTACTTGTGAGTCCAATCACGTTCTATTGCGCAAGAAGCAGGACGCGCGCTTTGACTAACTGACGCTCAGTTAAATCCGACGTGCAAAGTCGAGCCTTGTCATTAAAACACGTTACATAAAGAGAACATTAGTTCTATCTTTTAAGACATCTCATATGTAGAATC